TTATGGATCTCTATACGGTAGAGTACCCAGGTCTCACAGACGGACAGGAGAGTCGAGATTACTACAGCTTGGTAGACCATGAACTGGGCGGTTTATGTTAGCACAGGATTCCCGAAAACTCTTTTGAATAGCTTCCCGTATACTGATTGGACGACTTTGATTCGGTTATCGGCGTCTTTTTCAGTGAAAGCATTTGATGTTAATATGCTACCAAGCTATGGAAATTGTTCAACATCCACTAGGTCAATATATATATCCTTTGTTTTTCTTTTTTCAATCATTTCACCCCTAGCAAGGGGACAATGCCACTAAGACGTAAGGGGTTACAGAGAGTGGTAGTGAAAGAGAATTAGAAGGTTGAGAATGGGGAGGATTGAGGAAAGGTTCAAGAAGACAAAAAATGGCGATTGAGGTTGCATTCAAATTTTTGAAGATTGTAGTTATATGCTAAGCCAGAAATCGGAAGGGAGTTCCACAGTTGGGAAGTGCGAGAGAGAAAATATTAGTGTAAAAGCGGCAGTTGCATTTAGCTAGTTCAACAGTAAAACGGTGGGGCCTAGTTGCCACTCTTGCATCTATGTTGCCACTCTTAAATCTATGTAGTCTCGACACCAGGTCAGGAAGCTCATCAGAAAAGACGCCATGAAAATATTTGTAGAAAAGACAGAGGGAAGCCACATTACGTCGGTTAAAAAGTACTGAGATGAGGTATTATGTACACTATTTACATTATTCGGACTATTGTCCTCATCTTTGTCGCCATATTTGTTACAACGTTACGGTCTTTTAGTATCTGTCTATATTTCTGAGATGAGGTATTATGTACATTATTTACATTATTCGGCCTATTGCCCTCATCGTTGTCGCCATATTTATTACAACGTTTCGGCCTTTCAGTATCTGTCTATATTTCTGAGATGAGGTATTATGTACAATATTTACATTATTCGGACTATTGCCCTCATCTTTGTCGCCATATTTATTACAACGTTTCGGCCTTTCAGTATCTGTCTATATTTCTGAGATGAGGTATTATGTACATTATTTACATTATTCGGACTATTGTCCTCATCATTGTCGCCATATTTATTACAACGTTTCGTCCTTTCAGTATCTGTCTATATTTCTGAGATGAGGCATTATGTAAACTATTTACATCATTCAGACTATTGTCCTCATCTTTGTCGCCATATTTATTATAACGTTTCGGCCGTTATACGCTCCAGACTTCTTCAGGTGGTTGGACTGTCGAACTGAAGCCTTTAATTCGCTCACTGGAGTAGACTGTTCTAGTTCCACGTGCCATGCATGTCTAATGAATGTCAGTTATCAATTATCTCCTATTAATTCTTCTTCTATATGTACATTGTGTACTCAGGACGTAAGAGATCGTGGCCCTCCACAGTTTCTTGTCTCTTGCAGCTCTAAATAAATTCTGACATTTCTTTGATTCTAAACCCCGTTCCCCGATGAATTTACTCATGCTCGTCAAGCACGTTATGCGTTGTTTTCCTCGAATCCTCTTACCTGCAAACTGTCCTTGTGAGTAACAGATTTTCCAAGCTTTCCTTCTTCATTATGTGCCCCAGACATTTTAGCTATCTTTTACTGATGTTAAATATGTTATCCTTTTGTTTCCATTTTCTCTAAGACCTCGACATTGCTCACATATTAGGTCAATATTATCCTCAGCATCTTTCTGTAGCACAAATACGAACAGCTTGAAAAAGGCGAAAAGGATTATTCGGTCGCAAAAATTACCCTACTTGACGCTGATTATATATATATATATATATATATATATATATATATATATATATATATATATATAAATAAAGTGAACATTGAAGTCAACACTTAGAGGCGGCAGTCTGTTTCATGCGAGACCAATTTTCATGGCCTGATGATTGCGTCTAGCATGAAACAGACTGTCCACTTTTATTCATTTACACGCTCTATCTCTGATATTGAGCACTTTATCCCATAAATATAGCACACCTTAAGACTATATTTCTTCATCTATCTATCTATCTGTGTGTGTATGTGTGTGTATATGTGTATATGTGTGTTTTGTTTATGTATCTGTCTGTATGTATGTATGTATATATTTAAAAATTGAAACCACAAACGTATTTGGTTGTAATGTTAACTTTTTTAAAAATACATATTCCGCTTTGTTTTCCATAATTATGTTTGCAGTTTGACTCTTCTTTTTAATATATATATATATATATATATATATATATATATATATAGTTGGTTAGTACAATAAAATCCAAACTTACTTCATATGGGGAGTAGACTTAATTCAACCGACGAGAATCGACAGTCTTATTCAACCCCGGTATAGACTGAGTTTGTGTCGGAACTTTAAAAACTTCTACAGTATTTATCCATTTCAATGTTTCAGTCACACGAAAGCCAAGAGTCAATAATCAGGGAAGGGTGGAAGGTATTAGACTTGAAGGAAAGAGGTTTTATAAAATTAAACCCGGATATAAACCTTATGATATTAAATTGTGAATATATGAAAAATGAAATTTAATGTGATACTAAGAGAGGAATAAAAAGTTCAATTATAATTTATACTGATAAAGTTATGTGTAAAAATTATACTTCAAAGTGCTCTTCCAAAACAAGTTATATTTAAAAATAAGAAATGTCTCTATATTTCTGAGATGAGGTATGACGTACATTATTTACATTATCATCAGTTGTCTCCTGTTAATTTTCGCTCTCAAAGTTCTCCACTGCCTTAACCGGGTATCGAACTCACACCAATTGGTTCTGTCAGTGGATCTAACCAACGCCTTTATCCACTGTGCCATATGACTTTGAGGGCACATGGCACAGTGAGAACACTGACATCCATTAAAACATGGCACGTGGAACTAGAACAGTCTACCCCAGTGAGCGAAATAAAAGGTTCAGTTCGAAATTGCAACCACCTGAAGAAGGCTGGAGCGTACAACGGCCGAAACGTTGTAATAAATATGGCAACGAAGATAAGGAGAATAGTCCGAATAATGTAAATAATGTAAAAATAAGATATAATTAAAAATAATATATAATTAAATAAATTAAAATGTCATATTTAGATAATTTAATTCAAAATTAAGTAAAATTATATTAATGTACTTGGTTAGATCCAGTGACAGAACCCAAAGAGTGTGAGTTCAATACACGGTTAAGGCAGTGGATAACTTTCAGAGGGAAATTAACAGGAGATAACTGATAGCTGACATCCATTAAACATGGCACGTGGAACTAGAACAGTCTACCACAGTGAGCGAAATAAAGGGTCCAGATCGACATTCCAACAACCTGAAGAAGGCCGGAGCCTACAACGGCGGAAACGTTGTAATAAATATGACGGCAAAAATGAGGACAATAGTCCGAATAATGTGAAGAATAGGTATTTTTATGTTTAGACATTTTTTTATAGATACAAATATTTAAGTAAATGCTCTGTTTTATAATAATTGTCGGACGTTGTCC